TAATTACAATAAAGTTCCAATACTTTATAGAGCTACCATAGATATCTAATTTGACATATGTTATACAAGCTTCAAGAACTAGATCATGTCTAGTTGACTACCTAATCGAATTATTATTCTTTTTTCACTAAAGGCAATGGACTGAACTTTTGGAATATATAAAATTACAGAAGCCAATAAATCTATAACATTTTCCTTTCACACACCGTATATATATTTTATTCACATCCGAGATTCGATAACTAGGTACAAGCATGAATAATCCTTTTGTTCTTCTAATTATTATCACTAACTTAAGCCCATGTTCATTTTTCATTCTTTCAAAACTCTTTTTCCTGTATACTCATTTTCAATAACACGTTCACATAATAAAATATTATACACATAAATCTTTTTTTTTTTTTAACCACACATGTTCTAAAAATTCACTATTCAAAATAACGTTTTGAACAAAAAAAAAAAGACTATCAGAGAGAGGCTGAATAAATCACAGATGTTGAATTTTGACAGTCGCTAATTATTGAGCTCAAATTTCAATAGTTCAATAGAAAATACTTAAATAGTCACTCTATCCATTTTTCATGACGACAGTTCTTGATACGAATTCATGTTCTCTACTTCGCTCATTTTTAAGTTCTCAACTCATCGAGATTTTTGATCAATTAAATGGATCTCATTCATTGATAAATCAAAGAACTATTAAAGTCATAAAATGATAATCTTGTCAAAAAAATGTAGATGAAATACACGACAATCAAATGGAGTTTAATTCTCCACATGATCTTACTATAGAATTAAACTTGACACATGGAAGTTAATGTCGTGTATTTCATCAAGAGACAACAAGACAACTAAATGTGACTTGGAAAAGGACAGCTGAACTCTTCTAATTAAGTATTCAAGGAACATTTCAAGTTGGGGATTTCAATTATTTCAACCATGAAAGGGAAATATTTAACAAAAACTATAGAACACGACATAAATTATATATATTACAAAACCAAAAAATTTTGAGGTTTCTATCAAAGACAAAAATTTAAGAATAATGCTACATGTATATAAACATTTATATAATGGTTTACATGCAGATTAGATGTCAAAAAAGCGTGAGAAGAATTTTTTTTTTTTTTTGGTTGAAATTTTTTTTTATCCAATCATATATCACCACATCATGTATATATAAACCATAATGTAAACATACCTAAAAACTGGTCGATAATAACCTTCAATTTAATCTTATTTTCGCATTCAACATGTTCTCTTAATGGTGAAGATTTAACATTGGACAATCATGAAAGTTGTTCCAATAACTAAGGTCAACTCCGTGTGGATCTTTCTCTAATTCAACAAACTTGAAGCAACATTATAGTTACATACTTTTGTGTGGATCAGTATGACATATGCAGCGATTGATTTTCATTTTTATCATAATCAAGTCCAAAATGAACTATGTTTCCTCTGTGACCAAATTATAAATAGTCACTAATCATATGCCCGCTTTCATTTCATCAAGTTTGTGTAATCCTATTAATTATCAGACGAGAATCAAACCATGACCAGGATGAACCTTCGAGTCATTGTCTTCGGGACAGGAAAATTGGTTTTCATTACTTAAATCCCCTTAACTTCTACATAATTGATAAGTGCATTTTGTGCACTTATTTAGGTCATATTATAGATTTTTTATGTCGTCGAATTATTAATTTCTACTTAATTTGGGTTAATTTTCTTTTATTTTTAGTTATGGACTCACGTGAAGCGATCGAAAGAGATGAAGGACGAATTGGACATTGGAAGGAAATTTGAAGATTAATATTGACATAAAGAAAAATCGAAGGGCTTGAATTGAAATAAAGAGAACATGGGCTGCACAAATAAACTTTTATCAGGGACCAAATTATCTTACCTAGGAAGATGAGATCTTGGTGAAACTAACACTATTCTAATTGGGACTTGGTATTTTAATTTGAAATTCAAGGAAGAGGAAATTACATAACCCCAAGTGTTTAAAGATCACAATTCAAAAATTAGGAATGAAATTTCATTATTCACAAATCAGATATCAAAACACACCTCACCCACCCATCTATCAAAACCCTAATTCATTTCCATATCTCTCTCTTTCTTTCTCTCTCATTTCTCTCTCTACATCTCTCAATATTCTCTTTCTCTCTCACATGGTCGATGATGACTAGTCTCTTTACTTTCTATTGGCGATGCAGCCTCGCACCACTGTCGCGAGATACGTCCTATATCCTCTCTGTTCTCTCTTATCCATCACCCAACCGTTGCTCTCCCTTTCACCAAACGCACGGAGTAGCCTGTGACTATCACAACACGACTTGAAGCAACACCGCAGCCGCGCGCAGCAGCACTGTGTCTCTGGATGTAAGAGATTACCTCTGTGCATTGGATCATGACCATCGCGTCACCAATGAATGACAAGAGATCTAAGAAAATTAGGTCTTGATCTATAGTTGTGGTGGTTGTGGAGGTGACCGATAAATTTGGATTTGACTTTTTCTTTTTTTTGGTGTTTGGATGGTGGTTGTGATGGTGAGTGGTGGTGATGTTGGCGGTGCTAGTGAGGCAATGTTGATGTTGGTGGTGATAGCGATTTTAGTGTTTATGCTGGCGGTGACAGTAGCTGTGCGTGTGGCTGTGGTGGCGATCATAAGTTTGTGGTGGCAGTGATCGATTCGTTGCTGTGGCGATGTTTTTGAGGTGATTTTTGTGATTGTTGGTGAAGGTTCTTACAGTATTACCTAGTTTGGTGGTGGTGGTGCCACAATGGTGATGTTACTATTGGTATTGTGGTTGTGGTGGTAGTGGTGCCGTGTGGTGTTGTGGTGCTATTGTGGTGGTAGCGACAATAGCAGGGTGAGAATGGTCGCAAATGGCCGTAGCGACAATGATGCTAGTGTTGATGGCGATGGTATGTGACCACTATTTGGTGTATATGACCAACTATTTGATTTATCTGTGACCAACTATTTAATTGTAATCTTAAAATTCCATATTTTGTGATCAACAAATTTGAAATATACGTGACTTATATATTTTTTTTATCTGTGACCTATAAATTTTTTATTTGTGACATCAAAATAATCTATGACAAATTAATTTGATAATAAGCGAACAATAAATAAGTTGTAATATATAATTATGTACCTGTGATTATTTATTGTATAATTGTGACCTTATTATATTTAATTAATAAAATGTTTTTAACTAATAAATAAATACATGATTTTTGCATTTTTAAACTCAAGGCCTGAAAATTGAATTGAACTGGTGACGCTTAATACCTGATTTATGATTTTTTTTTTCTATATATAAACATGCAGAGGGTTGAAGAAAGAAGAGAGGCACACATATACATAGAAGTGGCGACTAGTTTGGAAATAAGGGGCGAAAATTGAAGATATACACACGGAGAGAATTATGCACAAGATGTCAAAAAATATTACTCGGACAACTAGCAGAGAAATAATTCCAAATTCTCCGTACAATAATTCATCAATAATTGTACAAGAAATTTGAGAATTAATCACATTCCGTCAATTCCTTGATGATGTCGTCTAAATTTTATTTGTTTAATTCTAACATTATGCTAGGTTAAATTAATTTTTGCTAGGATTACGATGAAACTTATATCATGAACCTCTAACTTTTGATTTTATTTATTTTTGACATTTAAAGCGCGTTTTTAATTATTGAATGATTGGCATTGATTTAATTTTTTTATGATTACTTGTCACTAGTAGTATGAATATTGTGACTTATTTTACCTTCGAAAGATGAAAAATAAGTGTCAATTGTCGTAAAGTTCGATAGGAAATAGAAATATATCGACGTGATTTTTAAGTATTCATAAATCTTTAAAACATTTTTATATGTATAATCTATTATAGAAATATATTCAAATTACATGTAAAAATATGTTTAATTCTACTTCAGAGAGATTGTTAAATAAATTAGAAATATTGATTTTCATAATTGAATCGTGTTTTCATATTTATAAATTTCAGGTTAAAGGGAATTTGAAATCCTATTATGTTTTTCATTATTATATTTTTACAAAATTTACATTTAATTTAAGTCTTGCATTAATTTTAATTATTCATAAATAGATAATTTATAGGAAAAACCACGAATTTCAATTGTTTCGATTAAAACTAAATTAATTCAAATTTGAATGAGTATAATATCTGTGGGCATGATATTTGAACCCAAAAATTCATTTTACTACTTGTTAACAAATCATGCACTTACCATGATTTTAATTCGAAAGAATATTTTTGTGGACCGTAACCAAATCTTAAATAACACAATTCAGATCTCCAATCATTCCTTCAAATTTATGAGTCTAAGAATACCTTACAGCAACCACCACTAAAAAGCCTAACAATTGACGTGACAAAGGACAACCCACAAAAGGGCTCGCCTCAAGATTGCTGGAAATCAAATACCAGCTTGTTGGTTCGACCGGGGACATGCAGGTTGCTGTGAATTGGCTACTGGAATGGACAAAAGCTGGCAACTTTTGCACAAGTTCTTTCGACATGCTGGGGTTAAAAGGGCATGGACAACTGAAAGTCTGGAGACCATAAATTACTCCTGAACACTTCTCCATCATCTGGTTGGGAATGTAATCCAAATTACTTACTAAAAATATGCTACTGCATCTCAACATTGATAGCACTTGTATTTTTTGTGAGTCGCAAGAGGAAACATGCCAACACTTATTGTTCCAACACTCTTTCTCCTCTCGTGCTTGGAAGATTATTAAGGTTTGCTTAGACGCTTGAAGAACAATGACTACTATTGTTAGTGCATTGAAATAGATTAAAAAAGAGGATAAAGGAACTTAACAAAATAAGGTCAAAAATATTGCCTTGTCAACTATCATCTACTCTATTTGGATGGCGATAGATAAATGAATTTTTGAAAATCTAAGACCATACGTGGATAATATTGTTAGACAAATCAAAACAACATATATAAAGTCATGTTTTCTTTATATCAAAATGTTTTGATTCAATCTGAATCTTTTGCTATGAATCACTTGATTTTGATACCCAATGTACTTGTACATAAACTTTGATCAATAAAATTTTACATTTACTAATAAAGAAAAAAAAAAATTTGAGGGGAAAAAGAAAAAACGGAGAACCAAAAACCTAATTAATCTAACACTCCCATGGTCCAACTTTGTGATGTCAAAGACAACGGTTCAAATCCTCTCTGTCCTTCCCTTTCACTTCATCTAATCTTCATCAGCAGAGGGCTTCGATGAACCACCGGTCTTCTTTGGAAGCAGAAGGTTGTGAATGTTAGGCATCACTCCACCATTGGCAATGGTCACATCACCAAGAAGCTTGCTTAGTTCCTCATCGTTCCTCACCGCCAACTGAATGTGCCTTGGAACAATTCTAGTTTTCTTGTTGTCTCTTGCTGCATTCCCAGCCAATTCCAGCACCTACATACACCAAAATATCCACACAATAATTATTATGAGCAAGAACTTATCAACAACTAAAATTGGGATTTGAAATTATTTCAAGGATTATACAAAGGTCTAAACAATTGGGGCTTAAATCAGAAACATAAATTTAAGTCGATAACTATATATTGAAATTTCATATGAGAACATAGGTAATCGGGGAATAAATTCCAAACCCTAAACCACAAATTACTCTTAGAATTGGGGACTCCTATGAATATATTGCCGAAATCTTTCATATACCTCAGCAGCGAGATACTCGAGGACAGCGGCGAGGTAGACAGGAGCACCGGCACCGACACGTTCGGCGTACTTCCCGGCCTTGAGAAAACGGGCGATACGACCAACAGGGAATTGGAGCCCCGCCTTGCTGCTCCTAGACGTAGACTTCTTTGCAGCTCCGGATCCAAGAGTTTTGCCTCGACCCGCCATTTGTTATGAAGAATTAAATGCGAAAGTGTTTAATTCGTTTGTGCTTTGAGTGTGTGCGCCCAAAAGCAATCGGAATGAACTGAGTGGGAATCGTCAATAGAGCAATTTATACTTTATATGGTAGTGGATACTCATATAGTGGACCAATCAGATGAAAGTACGCGGATCGGTAATTTAGAACGTTGAATGGAAATAAATAGACGGTTAGATATACGGGAACCTCATATGCATTCCATTGCTTCACGGCTTTGGCGTTTTGTAGATTTGAAATTGTGCTACTACGAGGGTATGAAATAGGAATCCAAGTTAGTTTTGGATACGTTGTCAATTGACTATTTTGTCCCTGTTTGACTATTTTGTCCCTGTAAATTTCACTATTGCCTTATGGTTTCATTGGACTTCATCTACATATTTTATCAACTTTTATCATAATTTTAACAAAAATGGTTTAGAACCTTTTGGGCCACTATTTAGAAATGAATTTTGGGCCTTATTTTGTAAACGACATTACAGAGTAAGAGCAAAAACATCTATTTTAGCAACGCTTTTTTTGTCATTTCATATTTACACGATTTATGAATCTCATTGGTTACATGAAAGCTGCTAAAGAAAGTTTGCAACAATCTTACCTAATTTGTGTATTCTGACTGGAAAATATAGGGTCCGCTCGAGCAATAAAAAAAATGTAAAAAAGTAAATCCTTCGTAAAAATAAAGTTCATCCAATCCTCAATGTTTAAGAGTTGACAAGAGGACAAAAGACTCAATTGATTTGAGAAAATGTAAATTAAGTTCAACCTCCCGTGTCACAAATAGGCCATGCATCGGCATTGCATAGCCTTTTTAGACAATTTTAATAAGAAGTTAAAATTTTGTTTATAGTACTATTGTGTATCATCCATTACTAATCGAAACTGCTTTAATAGGATAAGTGCTGACGAACTCTCTTGCATATGTTTACGTTTGTATTCTTGGATCTTGTATATTTAAAAAAAAAAAAAAAAGGTTGAACCCCAATTTTGAGGGTCTTCACTGCCCTGCCCCTAGAGTATCATGAGGGAGATAAATTGTGGGATGTGCCCTAGCAGGCCAGGGAACAAGAGCTTGCCTGTACACTGGTGCTCCCAAAAAGTCCAATTTCATATATCAGGAATCGAACCCTTACACTGCAGCTGGTAGCAAGGCTGAGATTACCACTCCTATCCTTTATACCATTGGGTTATGCTCCAGAGGGATAGATTTTGTATATTTTAATTTTTACTAAAAGTGGAGCATATAATTGGATGGGTAGGGATTGGAATTTTCATGAAGTTATTTGGATTAGTCCAGCTAACTCCAAACCTGTGTTCATTGCCATTTATTTAACAAAAATGTGATAATTTAATTTTCTCATTCGACTCATTTATTGCTTAAAAAATTGGAATTTTACCCTCCCTTCGAGTCTTTATGAAGAAAAAGCCATTCCATTTGTTAGAGCACTAGACTCTTTTTTATGCGAACCCGATTAGCAAGGTCGTTATCGAATCCATAGGATTTGACACCGGATCCCAAGAACGCCCAAATACGACCAAGGTTTAGGAATCGACCGGCAAAAGTGAACAAAGCAATATGAAACGAACGACCTCTTAATCACACAATCTTGAAATCTCATCCGGATTTGTGGATTTGAATTCCACAATAGTGAATTAAGCAAACAAAGCTATATTAAACTAATGACCTCTTAATTATACAATAACGAAATCGCATCCGATAATTTTGAACGCCACAAGGAAATTAATCCCTTGATAAGTTCAACCCGTTTGCTGAAGAACAAAGTTTGAAAGGAGAAAATCGCAATACTTCATTATCAAAAGTCTTGTATTACAATGTAGAAAAATAAACATATTTATACTAAAACCTAGAATAAATTTTAAATGGTATAAAATTTTAGAATACCCAGAAATCTATTAAAATCGGAAATAGAGTCCTAAAATATCTAAATTACCAAAAATAAGAAATTTGACCAAAATAAAACTTATCCAGATCACATCACTTTTACTTCTCTTATGATGACACTCTTTTTCCGAGTGATTGTGGGATCAATAGAGGATAAAAATGCCTTGTATCTTTCTCAAATCTCAACAAATCCAAAATCTATAAGGGTGTGTTTGATTGCCAATATTTTTCATGAAAATTGTGTTTTTCCACCCAAATTCTCACTTTTGTATTGTTTGATTGACATTTTTCCATAAAAAAAATATTTTCCTACTTTTAGTTACGTAACAACCATATTTTCCTCAAAATCAAAGAAAATATTTTCTTTAGGGAAAGTATGATTTTATGTTCAGGGAATTCACTCTATTTTTCTCTCTCTCATTTACTCATCAATAAAAAATGACAAGTATAATATTTTCTAAATTGAAAATTAAATTAATCAAACACATTTAATTGATAATTTCTATGCAAATAAGTTTTAGGCAATTGGATTGCTTCGAATTTATTTATTTCCATGCAAATTCAATTCTTGCAATAAAATGCACCCTAGGACAAGTTTTCTAGTTGCATTTAATGATTCCATTGATTGTGCGTTGATGTTCAGGACAATCTAGTATAAAGATGGAGTATGCATGTCAAATCATGATTATTTTAGTGCAGTTCTTGGCGTTCTCAATCCATATTCAACTTATCTTTCATTCAAGCAGGGACGGATCCAGGATTGGATCCACGATTCGGCTACAAAATTTCAAACCAAACTACTACGTAAAATTTTTTTTTTTACACATAAAAAACTGATTTTTTACCCAAAAAATAAAAAAAAATACCTTAAAAAAAGCTCTTGGACCTGGGGGGGCCTACAGCCTAGCCTAGCCCAGCCCCCCATATCCGTCTTTGCATTCAAGTGTCTCGAAAATCCAAGTATTCATCTTCAATTTGATGCATTGATTCAAATACTTAATTCTTAGTTGAATCTATAAGTGTGTATATTATTGTAATAAACTCCCTCTACTACGGAAAAAACACCAAGAAAAATCGTAAAGTCCCTTGCAAAGTTTGAGTGGCATTTGAAACTTAGGAAGATTGATATATAGAAGTGTGGGTTAGATTTTGCTTGAATCAAGAGCACACAGCAGAAGCTACATTGATAATAACATTGAGAACGTGATTGAAAATCTTTTGAGTTGTACAACCAACACAGAAGAGACGAATGAATCAAGTACTAAGGGAATGAGTATTGTGCAATTGCCTCAAAAGTTAAAAGTTGGAGAACATCTATTACATATAATAAAAGGTAATGATTGTATGGAACTTCTAATTAAAGTTTAGAACATAATCCTTACAATACTTGGTCTCCAATTTACAGCTAATTTTGAAGTCTTGTACATGAAGAAATCTTTGTTTGAGTTGAAATTAAACTCTTTGACTTGGTTATTGATTCTATAAATAATGGATGTATTTCATTATTTTGGCTATGGCCTAAAAGTTGATCTGATAGAAAAATATTGTGAGTTTAGCATCTTAAAACTTTTCGTACAAAGGATAGAAAAGTAGATGTGATAAACCTCGAGTTTATTCTTCTTTTTAATACTTGGGGATTGGATTGGTGAGTAAAATTTTATATGATTCTAACAATTTTCATATAGTGAAAAGCTTAACGATCCATTTAATTTGTGCGTTATTTTTTTTGCTAATATTCTTTTGAACAACAAAAGATTCTGTGGGTAAATAAAAATAAATGAAATTTGCGTAAAATTCGAAACATGTGGTATTAGAGCGTTAGGTGGTTTTGAGTATTGGAGAAATAAAAAAATATTTTGTTGTTGAAATATGATGTGAAAAAATTTGACGGGAGAATCAATTTTGTCTTGTAGCAAGTACAAGTTAGGGATTTATTAATTCAAGCTAAACTACACAAGGATTTGAAAAGAAAATCAATCAAGATTTCTGGCAATGAAGCTGAATCCATTATGAGCAATGAGGATTGGGAAGAATGGGATTTGAAGGCTACAGCATGATACGTCTCTGTCTGGCTAAAAAGTTCTAACAAATATTTATGGGATATCTGCTGCAAAGAATATATGTGAGAAGTTAGAAGAACTATATCAAATGAAGGGCCTCTCAAATTAATTGTACCTGAAGGAACAATTTCATTCATTACGCATGAATGCAGGTATGAAAATCTAAGATCATTTGAGTGCTTTCAACGGGATTGTTTCAGAATTGAAGGTTATTGGAGTGAAGGTAGATGACTTGGATAAGGTAAGATGGCTCATCTGGTCTCTTCCGTCTATCTATGAACATATTAAGCCAATCTTGATGTATGGGAAAGAAACTGTGAGTTTTGTAGTAGTGACAAATAACTTGATCTCAGAAGAAAGAAGATTATGGGGAAAGAAAATTTCATCTGACAATGCGGTGTTGGTGACTGAAAAGGGGAAGAAAGGTAATTCCATGAGGAAGAAAGCAACTTGCTGGAACTGAGGTCAGATTGTCCACTTGAAGAGAAATTATTCAAAGGGTGAAACAAGGTCGGCTAATTGCTTGGGATCGAACAATGCATCTCTCCTAATGGAGGAGGACGCTGATGTGGTGCTGTAAAGTAAGATGGGAACACTCTCTTGGAATGTCGTCACTTGCCATGATAGAGGCTGTGTTTTTACTGGCGCGGGTCAGCATATCTGCACATAGTATTGACTGACATTTGATGCAAGGTGTGTAAGTATGTGGTGGTATTGTGATGTTGATGACTGATGAGCTCTCAAGGAAAGTCAGTGGGAGGGTTGCACCATAACTATCAGCAGGGTTGTTTCGAAATGTAGCTGATGAAATGCTCGGAGTTCGCGGATACTTCTGAGTGGTTATTCTCATATGGTGGAGTATGGGACCATTAAAGTGTGTCAAAAGATTACCTGTTTTTTCAAGTATTGTGATTAAAAGTTGTAGAAAAGATGACGAGATTTTGACTCGTTTTCGGTAAGGTAGAGATTGTTGGGTAACTGCCTCAAAAGTTAAAAGTTGAAGGATTTCTATTACAAATAATAAAATGTAATGATTGTATGGAAGACTTCTAATTAAAGTTGAGAGTAGAATCCTTGCAGTACTTGATCTCCAATTTACTGTCAATTTTGGAGTTTTGCACATGAATGGGTCCTTATTTGAGTTGAAAGGAGTCCTTGTTTGAGTTGAAATTAAACTCTTCTACTTGGTTATTGATCCTATAAAAGAGAGTTATCTTAGCACCGACCTTATCAGTAATCACACCATTTTTGTAAAGAAAGAGGGCAACTAGACCGTGTTGGTCAAGCCTAAAAAGACAAGCTCATAGGAGTCAAATTTCATTTTAATGGTGACCATGGACATATATGATACAAATGCAATAAACTTGCATAATCGAGCTCACTCCAATGGTCTACTCCGGAAGATTATGATCTACTTTAGTTAGAAAATGTGTTGAAGTAACATTGAATACTCCAAATTATCTAATCATGATTTCATTTCTTAGTACTCCAGCTAACATGATACAAAGAAAAGATATTATCATTGTGCTGCTGAAATTTTTTGCACTACTAATGGGGGAACGTGCGTTGCATGTTAGTTGGTTAATGTTAAAAATAAGCGTTTGAAAAAATAATAAGATGATGTTAATGGAACATCAAATCATAAATAACAATTTGATGTGTAACTTTTAACATTTTCTCTCATTTATGATTCCTTGATAATAAAATGAGTGATTTTAATATATCTTGAACAATTAAATTTAAGTTGATCCTATTTTCACTTGCTTCCACCTTCGTTTCTTTTTTGTGGATACGTGGGTGGGAGTGAGTTGGGTAGGAGGTTTGGAGTTTCGGGAAGTCACACACCACCACTACAGGATTCCCTTTTAAACGGGATAAATTGGATGTGGAGTAAGAACCGTATTTTGTCTTCATTATTTTTGTTACTTTTCTATTACACAAATTATTAACAGAACAAAGATCAATGAAAACAATATTAAAACAATCCAGCAATCAATTGACATTCTTTCCTTCACCAAGGATATATAACAACGTGACTGATCATGTGATGTACATGAAAAGCAATACAAAAAGTAGAAGATAAAAGTATCTTATCGACTCGTTTATGAGATTGTAATGCAAGACATTAATTAGTGTCATTGTTTCTTTCTTACATATTAAAGTTGTTAGCAAATCAAATTAACATGCACTCATATATGACAAAAAAAATGAATTGGATGTTGACGAAAGGAATGGCTGACAAGTGTTCTCCTTGAATAGTGCCAAAGTTTGCCTCTTTTATTTATGTAAAATAATGTATGTAGATAGATAGATAGATAGATGTAGATAGAAATTAATTCTAACTCTAACAGTCGAATCAAATCCCAAATCTATATTTCGTGGTCGAGTAAACCAACCAATCCCATTTTATTCAGACAAGTATTTTAGGTTTTCACAACTCATGTGGAATGCCCATCATTTTCAAATGAGTAATTTATATTGGTGTTTAACACTCGTTTATGTGACAACATGTTTGACATTAAGCTCTTGTTTAGTACTCATTATTTTCAAAATATTTTTTTTTTGTCTCTCTTATTTTTAATTTCACATTTTCAATAAAATAATATTATATGCAAATTCAAAACATTTTCCTTATTCGTTATCAACATATTCTTATACAAAATACTATTTCAAAATCCATTTTGAACAAAAAAATGGAGCTCAAACAGACTCTAAGTAATATATTCATTTAAATGTAAGGAGATATATTAAATTTTGAATTTATCCGATGTTACCATCTAAATTAATGCTCCAATTAGACCTAGATAAAATTATTCTTTTAAAATTCCTCACTGTGTTACATGAGTTTTCTAAAATATTTATAAGTTAAAACTGTCCATACTGTTGTGACTTCAAGTATCATTGGTCACTATTCCTACCTCTATTTATATATTTTTAATTTGCATAAGGGAAATATGAAATATTTTAAAAAGGATTGAATGAGAAAAACGGATGCCCACCAATGTGAACATTTAAAACTTCCAGATCTTTAGTTTTAATTGCATTTCTTGTCAACATTTTGAAATTAATTATTTAACAAAGCAATGTCATATGGTGGGTGAAATCGAGTTCCCATACGGTTTTGCGGCTGGTCGTAGACAAGCGGTCCTTAAAACCGCGTTGCCATGTCAAGTCAAATTAGTCAAACTTTCTAGATTCTCATCCGACGTGTTGACATGTTATAATATTACTGGTCCACTCTGGTTATTAATTACACCTGTCATTCATTAGATTGGTATGTTTCTTTCTCCAGGCGTCACGTTGGTGTCACATAAACGTCATAACTCGACAATACCATGAGGTTTATCATGTGGACATTTGACAACCTTGTCCGCAGTGCGTGCTGTTGTCCCAATTTTGAATACAAGTCGGTTTTGCCTTTTCCGTTTTCCATCAATCTTCCTGGCTGGATGCACATTCTCGGCATCAGCGCGTGACCTCGTAATTCCCAAGCCCAAGGCAAAATCAACTACTTGCTACCCAGAATGTTGAACGCGTGGTCGGCGAGGCTACTAATCCTTAAAAAATCGTTGGTCAATAAAATCAACCCCTACTCAACCTATATAATTATCTTCACCTCTCGTTTGCTTGTTCTTTCGATTCTCCGTAGAAAACAATTTTTCGAACCTTAAACTTGAAAACTTCGATTCGACTTCTTTTCTGCAAGTTAAATAGGGTACTTCATACATGAATTTTCATTTCTTAATTCTGGATTTTTTTTAAAAACTATGTTTTTCGGTTTATTTTCTTGGTTGTAAGTATTTTTTAGATTTAAATTCTACCCATCATTTCGTGTTTTACAGGTTGATCTTCTTGTGTCATCTATTGGAAAATTGACTTGTCACTGCGTCTTGGGCTTCAAATCAACGTAGATGAAGAGATTGGAATTCGCAGATTTGGAGTTATAAAGGTGTAGCTGAGTTTAATGAGATAGCCAAGTTCATTCCTCACGCAAGCAAAGAAAGGGTTCTGATTGCTGAATACAGAAGTTGAAGTCGTAAAAGAAGCGACCTGAGTTATGTTGAGGTTTGTCGGTGCATGAAACAGTTTATGCTACGGCATAGGATGAAACAACCGTTTTCTGGGTGTAGTGGGACTGGTGAAGATTTATCAAACTCTTCTTATCCCATCATCTCCTCAGTACCTACCAGACTGTTCGACTCTTTGAAATTTGAAACAGGATACTCTCCAAATTCGCCTTTTACTACCCATTTTGAATCTCAGACCCTCGCCACATTTAGCGACAGTCGAGAGGGACAAAATTCCACAGATACTCATTCTGAAGCCACTCCCTCATCTCATTCTTCTTTGGTTCACAATAAAATTTTCCAACAATTAAGCCACTCTCCCAATGGTCTATTGATTTGTTCTGGGGGACCTTTTCTTCAGAATGCAAATCACAATCAGCATGTAGAATGCACTTTGGAAGAATTAGAGACTGCTCTCATGGGACCAGATGATAACGTGGATGTGAGAACCTTGGATCCTTCTTTAGGGGAAAATAACCAACTACAATCATCAGGCAAGAGGTCTCCGCCCTGGAACTCACGTTTACATGATCAAGGGACATCTTACATTTCCTGCTTTAGAAGCTCGGCCGACGAACTTCATGCTGAGAAGCGTCTCAAAGCAATGGAGGACTTATCATTGCAGGGCATCCCTCAACATAATCTTAAACAGTTGCTGGTTGAATGTGCTAGAGCTCTTTTTGAGAATAAATTAGACGAATTTGAGAAATTGGTTGAAGAGGCACAAGGTGTTGTATCTATTTCTGGTGAACCAATTCAACGTCTAGGAGCTTACATGGTTGAAGGGCTAGTAGCAAGGAAAGAATCATCAGGCTCCATCATCTATCGAGCCCTCAAGTGTAGGGAGCCAGAGAGCAAAGATTTGCTTTCGTACATGCATATTTTGTACGAAGTATGTCCTTATTTCAAGTTAGGTTACATGGCGGCAAATGGTGCCATTGCCGAAGCATGTAGAAATGAGGATCATATCCATATTATTGACTTTCAGATTGCACAGGGGACACAATGGATTACTCTCTTACAAGCATTAGCAGCAAGACCCAGTGGCGCCCCTCGTGTTCGAATTACAGGGATTGATGATCCGGTCTCTAATTATGCTCATGGTGATGGTTTGGCAGAGGTAGGGAGACGGTTGGCTGCAATTTCTGATAAATTCAATATCCCCGTCGAGTTTCACGCTATCCCAGTTTTTGCTGCAGAGGTCACGATGGATATGCTTGATGTTAGGCCCGGTGAGGCTCTGGCAGTGAATTTCCCATTGCAGCTCCATCACACCCCTGACGAGAGTGTCGATGTTTCCAATCCGAGAGATGGACTTCTAAGAATGGTGAAATCACTTTCTCCCAAGGTGATTACTCTAATAGAGCAAGAATCGAACACAAATACCGCGCCATTTTTCCCAAGGTTCTTAGAAACGCTTGAATTCTACGCAGCAATGTTCGAGTCAATAGACGTGACCATGCCTAGACACCAGAAGGAACGCATTAATGTAGAGCAGCATTGTTTAGCTAGAGATATTGTGAACATAATAGCCTGTGAAGGTAAGGAGAGAGTAGAACGTCACGAACTCTTTGGCAAGTGGAAATCGAGATTTACCATGGCTGGTTTTAGGCAATATCCTCTAAGTCCTTACATAAATTCTGTGATTAGGGACCTTTTGGGACGATACTCTGAGCATTACACGTTACTAGAGAAGGACGAGGCTATGCTATTGGGATGGAAGGAAAGGAAACTGATTTCGGCATCTGCTTGGCACTGAATGAGATAGTTGTAGAATTACTTGTTTCTTTTATTGGTTAAAATTGATAATCATGTTTTACAACTTTGATATCATCTTTATACCACCCCATCTTGTTTACTTGAATTATTTCATATTATATTTTAGCTTATAGAAGCATTGTAGAGACATATATTCTTCTTGATTGATGTTACCACGGTTTTTCTTTCGATTCTATTGAGGTTGCATTAGAATTGAGTGAATTCACACTCATTCGACTAAGTTGTAAGTGTTATGCCCTAGATACAATCGATTTAGGTTGTAAACGCTTTTAATATATTTAATGCATTTGATTTTGGCGAGATCTATTATTTATTTAAATTAATTTTGTAATAAATAATATTAAATAATAGAATCCGAAGACCCAATTTTTAGGTAATCTGTTAATCACAAGGAGTTGTGATTGTGAGATACAAATTACATATAATTGGATCTTGAATAAACCATGGTCGTAAGTAATAACGAGATACGGATATCGTTAATACAGTTAGACCATCACGTGTGGCATTTCTTACTTATGAAATAAGTAGCTGATCTCACGAGTTAAAGTGTGGTGACACTTAAATGAACATGTGGATGTTTTGTTGTAGAACAAAACATTGGAGACCCGCTAAGAGATTCCACATGGATAACTATCTGAGTGTCAGTGGCTAATCTCTAACGTTCGGTAGTGGAATTGATCCTTTGACTTGAGGTCGTCATAGTACCCTGTATGAGGACAGTCATACTTTGGCGGTGTTGGATGTTGCTCTGAAAGGGACCGCTAATACGACATCGTTCGGGTACGTCAAGAATCGTATGAAGGTTGTGATTGATCAATAAATGATTCGTCACTCTTAGATAATAGGAGATGATCTGCGTTTCATTCAATTAAGTCGATGATGAAATCCTTGGCCAAGGTGTACTCATAAGTCGAAAAGAAGTTTTCGATTTATATTGACTTAATAGTGGAATGAAAGATA